TACTATTAACGATATGAGAATTTAGTTATAATTTTGCAATTTCAAAATGTGAGTTTTACAATTTTGAAAAAGAAAATATTAAATATGCTCATATACAGAAGTCTTCGTTTCATTGACATGACATCCGACACACCGCTAGTGCAGCGGTCTGCTGTTTGGCGAATTTTAGAGGCTTTTGCTAAAATAACAATGAATTAAATTGCTGACATCACTCTACGTCGGGGATTGAAAACTGTGCAGCAAAATACATGCTCTTGGTTGCATTTATAACTTTTAGGGTTCCGTACATAATTATAACTTTAAAGGGTTACGGTTAAAACGGAAACCTATTAATGTCACTCTAGGGTTGTTTGTCTGTCCATCTGTCCATTTGTCTTTCCGTGTATTATGGATCTCTAGTTTATAGACGGATGAATATCTGGTGTAGAATGTTATCCCAAAATGTTGCTGATGTTCCCTTCCCATACATGAAAAAGGAGTCGAACAATTTATTTTCTCGCACTGGCATAAGGTGTGTCATTGTTAAGAGCCTACTTGTGGGGTACAAAATATATATATATATATATATATATATATATATATATATATTATATTCTTTATTATTGAACATAAAAAAGGAACAATATATTTTCTGTTCAATAATAAAGAACTTGGGGGGCAAGTTCTAGATTTAAAATTAAAATTTCTGTAGAATATGAACCACATTATTGTATTTAAATGACAAATACTAAAAAATCGATTAAACTCTGAAACAAAGTATAACTCGCACTTAGCCTGATTTTATTACGTTTTTATTAACTCTATTTCGGGTATGTCTGTTCAAAAAGTCAGAATATGAAAAAAGGTGTAAAAAACAAACAGAAGTTTTTGAAAATCAAGTTATTAGTAAAAACCATCCGATGTTTCTTTAAAAATAGATACAAAATCTGTCGTCAGAATCTACCAAACACTTTCCAATGCACCTACATATCCTGAAAACCTTCATGATAATATGCATGTCAGATTAGGCTTTATAGATATGGATTCATTAGCATTTAAATCTTAAGAATAAACACAAATGAATGTAAATAATATAGGCACCGAATTCAATAAAAGCGGGTAGTGTGACCTTGTCAAGTACGGATTATCCTAAAGGCAAACTAAATTTCACAAATAAATTCCACAGTATGGTCGTGTTAGTCAAGTAATTCCGAGTAAATCGCACCCTAGTGGACCGCCAGTCATCGAGATGATGAGAATGGAATTTCGACTTCTGTTGCAGTGTTAGATGGTGGAATTCAGCACTTGGAATTAATCCGAACAACTCCTCTGAGCACTCCCCGTGATATATGCGGTAGAAAATGCATAGATAGCAACGTTTCTTGGCAAGGCCAGTGTATCAAAGCGATCGGAAACAACTCGGTCGTCGATGATTCGGGCCGCTCTCCGTTGAATACGGTACTGTACGTCTCACATGGGGGGTCCCCTAAAATTGAAGAGATACGACAAAGAAGTTCTTTTTTGCGGTAAACGCGCAAACCTGTCTTTTGGAGGTTAAACTGGACTAGATTTAGAAAAATTTGACTTCAGACACAAGTTTATTCCGGCACTCGACGTGTTCCCGAGAAGTACACTGAGAATGCACGACCGGTGTATAAGGCAGTTAATACTCAATCTGTAAAAAAACTGTTGACCCAGTTGCATAATTTCCCCGTAAGCCCATAAGAGGGAAGCTTTAAAAGAAGCGTTTAGTGCCAAATCCAATCGAAGGCCTTGGCTATTTCCAAATTAACTGCCAGGACCTTTCAGTCGGTCTCTACTGCCTCCACCTATCGGTGAGTCAGCTAGGAATCTATATTGACGGTCGGATGGACGGACGGACGGAAGCTCTTCAAGGTACCTCATGATTTTGCAGTTAAAAATGGATTCCATTATTTTGAAGAACAAGAAGATGATGGCGATAGGCCTGTAGTTGGACGAGCGATCACCTTTTTTAGGGATCGGGTGCACTAAGGCTCTCTTCCATGAGCTTGGAACGACGCCTAAAGAGTAAGAGCACCGGAAAAGACGTGTAAGAACCGCTGTTAACTCTGGAGCACACGTCTTCGGTACGATTGGGGGGATTCCATCAGGCGCACTCCACTTATGGACGCCCAGGAACATTAGTGATTTACGCACTGAGCACTGTGTGTACCGAACATCCTGCTTTGAGAATTCACACTGCGAGATGGTCGGCGGTTAATTCCCCCGGTCGTCGAGAGTCGAGTTGAACGCAAAAAGAGAACCAAAAAAATCGGCTTTCTTCTTTGCGGCGTGGGCTAGCGAGTCATCCTCTCTGTGCAGAAACGGTAATGTTGGCTTACAGAAATTCCCTTGGGCAGCCTTGGCGAGAGAACAGAATGCACGAGTTCCCGAAGGAAGGTGAACTAGTTTCTCACCAATTCTCTCAATGTGCTCCGACTAGCGATAACTCTTTTGCAGAAACTGGAGGCAGGGTTGTACTTCTGAGTGCGCTAGTGTTTGCATCCCGGGACGCCGATGCGTCGTACCAGGTCACTTCTACTTTTGCCGCGACGTAATTTTGCAGGAGCGACCAAACCAAGGCTGGGATCTGCCGCCGATAGGCAATACAGATGACAGGATAAAAATTTCTATCTCCTGTAGCACCATCACCATATCGGTGACTGACTCAACAACGATGTTGAGATCATCTAGCGAGAAGTAAATCCCAGGGGTAATGCAAAAAAATCCGACAGCATATCCCAAGCCGCTACCTTATAGACACACGGCGACAGCTTACAGATCAGGCAGTAATCCGAAGAGCCAAGAGATGCATAGGCGAAGACCTGATATATTTCCGTTTGAGAGTTCAGTAGAAGGTCCATCAGGAAAGGTGCATGATCCTCCACATCTTGAATCCGTGTGGGCGAAGTGACCAGTTGTGTTAGACCATATACCAAGGCAAAGTCGTAAATAGATCGATGCGGGGAGCCGCATGATCGGTAGTACGAGAACTGAGCCATTCGGCGTGGTGGACGTTGAATCGCTAAGGAGCACGATCGTTGCGGATGGAATCAGTTGTAGCACGATATTTACTCTTTTGGACGTGTTCGAAGAGTCGGTCTGTCTCGTCATTACCGCAGTGAGACCATAGAGGCATCCGTAGACACGAGGGTGGCCGTCGCCGTCTATGCGTAGCCATAGCCCTCGTCCACAGTGCGAGCCTAGCGCGGTTGCGACGACGGGCACGAATAATTATCAAACATATGAAACCGCCGTTGGCGTCCATAGTGTAGTGACTAAGGCGGACGCCTAGCGCGACGTCCGCGCGTTGTGGCCACACTACAGGCCTAGTCAGCAAGCGATCCAATGCGCGGATGCGGGGATATCAAACCAGTTCGGTCTTATCGCTCGGCGTAAAAGCGTCTTCATTTTTTTTTTAAAAATTTGAATCTTCTCTAGTGATTTTAGGTGATATTTTACTCAGGACGTAATCAAATGTTGACACGGACATTCGAGTATACTCAAAGAATTTTCTAGGGTACAATCTCAATTCTTCATACAAATTAAAAATATCACCAATTATTTGTCGGTTTTTATTTATTTCGTGCACATCCTCTCTAATGTTCAAAATCTCCCATCTCAGGATCGGACTGTCTAGTAGAAATACTAAATCCTCGTCCATAGTTTACAACACCTGTAATATATCTGTAGACAATTTGTGACGATTTTGATGTCAAGGACTCTTGTTCATCAGCACATAAATTTCCATTACTAGACACAGGCTTCCAGTTGTTGTTACGATTTTCCTTAATAACCACGCTAGGTAAATGGAACAGCGTTTGCTGTGACCGACGTCTTGCGCTTTTGCTTGTATTCCTCGTCGGTGACCTGGGTTTTTTACGTCTGACATAAAGAAGATGGTTATACTGCCATTTATAGGAAGGCACGAGATTTTTCTGGCTTTTCGCACAGTCGCTTCTTACGATACGTAAACGAAATGAGATGACGCTCAAACTCAAGGATTCTACATAAATAATTAATTAGCAAAATTTTTCATTTTTTATCTTTAAACGTTGCGATGCTACTCCAGTCTCAGGAACCTCATTTCGAAACAGTGGTAGAATAGGTAAGTAGGTTTAAAAAAGTGACATTTGACTAACGAAATTTCTCTACGTCGATGAAATAAAGATAATTCATTTAATGTCATTCCAGAACTCTTTGTGGTATTCGAGAGTAAAATTTATTTCATATTCTGTTAAATGCATAGACTTGTATGTATACTCCTACTACCGGATAGATACTTAGTGATTTTAAGCAAACACGAAATGAAGTGACTGGTTAAAATATTTCTAATGTCACCTATAACAGGTGCGAACAGTTTTAATTAGTGTTCGCGGTTTACAAAATAAAGAACCAGTCTTCTTGCCCGCTCGCAGTCGTCTAAAGAAGTTATTTAGTGCACAATGTATTAGTACCCTATGGATGCCATACACGATCCAGTTCGGCGTCCCGTAAACTTGATGGTGTATGGCTATCAGTGTGCATGACAAGTGTACTTGAAGCAAAAATTGAATTTCCCTTTCTGCCGACTTGATCAAGCTTGCAGTGTCATATAAACTTGAATGTGTGTATGAACGCTTATGTATGCATGACGTTAGTCGGAGCAATATGCGAGAGACGCCATGGTTTCAACTGGTGCGGCATCATGTAAACTTGACGGCGAACTTGAACGTGAGTGGTCTATATGGATGCATTGCAAACTAGACGCCGCTTCAAGCGCGCTGCAAACTTGACGGTAAACTGGATCGTGTATGGCATCCACTAGTGCTCATATAGTAGTAAATATAGAAGCCTTTAGTACGTAGTACTATTATTTATTCTGTGTCTTTAGTTAAATGAGGAAAGTAGGTAGCTTAACAAATAATTAAAGCAGAACAAACTTAATTTTATTGAAATGCATTTAAACTTGAACAAGTTTCAAAATCTCGAAAATATAATTAGTTTGTCTTATGTTTTTTTTACGTTGCTGTCCTGTTGACACTTGCCAGCATCGCTTTCAACCTGCTGTCGCGCAATCGATCCGGGAACGGATAGAACCTTTCGTCCGCCATGAGCAGGTGCGTTGCATTTGTTATGAAGTTCAAGTTCGAATGCGAAGCGAGGTATGAGAACATGGCGGGAAAACGTTCCGTGCCGCATCTGTACATAATGTTGCCCGAAAATGATGATGACAAATCTAGTTATCATAATATCAAGATAGATATCCATTCATTTATTTACAGACTATAAAACTCCGCTGCTGAACATAGGCCTCTCCATAGATTGCCTCATACAAGGCAATTGGCATAGTTGTCATGCTTGGCAAGCCGGTTGGCAAGCGCAGTTTTTTATAGTTTTGGGGTGGGAAACGCCAACTTTTTGGCTCCGGACTTCTACTGGAAATTTTCTTGACCGCAATCTCATTATCAGCACTAGATCTACGAGAACACGATTTATCCTAATATATTTTTTTTAAATAGAATAGCGTGACAAACGAGCACACAGTCCACCTGATGGTAAGTGGTTGTTGTGGCCCATAAACATCTACATTTATCCTCGTTTGCAAATCAAAATGCAGATGCGTTGTCACCCGTGAGGACAAAGATGGAATGCCTCTTTTCCAGTAAAAAGTGTCTCCGGTTCTCTACACTTACCATATGAAACACAGCAGTATTAAGCTGCTATTTGACCTTGGTATTCTGTGAGAGCGTCCTTCCCCGGTCGAGCCGACCCATTCGTGCTACAACTATACTACTAATATACTAATATAGCTGCAGCATGGCTCTACCAGGTATATATCCAATATACTTACAATTTGCGTATACCCCATGATGCTAATCCCCATAATACCCCATCGCTAACTGCCGGAGCACCCGTGTCCCGCTGCAAGAATACAAAACACAGTAATATTTGTGAGATTTTATATATTTTTTAAAACAATTACACTAATCAAAAATTCTCGTTCTTTTGACTCCAAAATAAAAAAAAGATGAAATAAAGGTGTCTGATTTGGTTACTTATAGTTTAAAAGTTTTTAATTATTTAATAATCCTAATACGATTAACCAAAAAGCAAGAACAGTTTTGTCGAAATAAGGTTACGAATTGAATCTGTAGGGTTTGTAAGGTAAACAATCTAATTATAGTATTTTTAATTAAGAAACAATTTAAAAAAAAAACATGTGTAGTTCACCCGAGGTAGAAGAATAAACCTTCAGAAAAGCAGACCGAGATAATACTAAACACTGAATACCCTTATTCTATCTCATTCTCTCGCAGGTCAAGTCTTAAGCCGCGTCTCCACCAAAAATGTTGACAACTTTCATGTTTCCAACTGTTGACAAATCAACAAAAGTTGCCAACATTTGTTTCCGAAAATATTTCAAAATGTTCCAAGAAGCGTCTCCATCGCCCCTTATAAGATGGTTCTCCTTGTACTCTACACTCCATATAAGGTACGTTGGGGTAAGATCGGTGATGGGGTAAGACCGTAGGATTCAAATTCCCGGCGAATTATGCTATATTTTGAAAAGCTAACAATATGCAACACGACGCCATTTCATCCTGCCCCGACCCTAAGTTCGCGCCAGTCACTCCGGCAAGTGGGACCTGTGCTGCGTGGCATTTTATAAAACAATGTAATTTTTGTATTATTTTTGTCCATCCGATCTTTCCCTATCACTTTTATTTACGATTTTTAGCGAGAATATGGCTTCTTTTGTTATTATTTTGTGTGGATACTAATTTTTATGAAGTTATAGCTAAATAAAGCTGGTCCATGCAGGGGTAAGATCGCTGTAGGCCGAGATCCGATGTTTCCCCTCGTGAGTGAAGATCGGATGAATATTATCCGATCTTTGCCTGTTACAAATATGGCAGTGGTTGTTAAACTTTCATTGGTCGTGTATATTTTTTCGTTGATTACTCAAGTGACTATGGGACTCAGTCTCGTTAGCAAGTCTGTATATTTAAAAGTAATAAAACAATACGATGATTTTATTACTTTTAAGTACATATTAAAATACATTTTTTTTATAGGATAAGGGTGACAAAGGAGCACACAGTCCACCTGATGTTAAGTCATTGCTGCGGCCCATAGACATCTATATCTATCCTCTATTACAAATCAAAATGTAATTTATAATAATTATTTAAAAAATAATTTATAATAATAAATGCCGCTTTGTTAAACTATTTATATCTTCCTTAACTCCTGCATTATCCCAGGGCATTTCGCCAGTCCTTACTGTTATTTTTTTCCCATATAAAATCAAATGCATCCGATCTTTCTCTTATATTGAGTAATTCCATCTTATGTCATAACAAAGTTTGAGAAACATAAAATTACAATTTCTTTATATCAGGGATAAGATCGGATGGCAAGAAACAAAAAAAGAGAAAATCGTTTGGAACATTTACGTTTCTAGTAATTTATAGATCATATTGAAATATGTTTTTGAGCGTTAAAGATAGGACAAATCTCTTTTATAAACTTTTTTCTCTAAGCAGTAGAAGTGGTTTTAAATTTAAGTCCGGTCTTACCCCTTAATGGCCAATTTTTCATTATGCATATAAAAAAGTATGTCTAGTTTTCGCACACCTTTAAAGCAGAAACCGTTGAGTTTACACAAGCAAAAGATTCTCAGAGCTAAACTACGTTTAACGATTAACGGTTTGCTCCATGTTCCATAAATCTGACGTTTACGAATGTCGAGAAATTAAAGTTTTTGGCAGACTCTTCCAACTATTCGAAAACCCGTCCGGTATTACCCCAACGTACCTTACGCGTCGTATGCGTATTCTGTGAGAGCGTGCTCCTACCCCGGACGAGCCGACCCATTCGTGCTGCAACCACAACATAGCTGCAGTGTGGCTTTGCCACGTAATAAACACGTACTTGAAGTTTGGTATTTTTTTTATCTTAGAATAATATTTTATTGCCATTTCCAACCAATACCGGTACTGTCACATCCCATCAAAGGTCTACTGAGGAACACAGGACTCCCCTTATAATATTGTGTAAGTATAATTGCACTCTTTACATTTTACATAGTTGCCACATTTGGCTGGCGGTTAGCAATATTTTTTTTTATTTGCTTGTATTAATAATAAGACGCTGAAGCCCATCGTCTGGTTTGTTTCCCTCTGTCGCGTCTTACGACACCCACGGGACGATGTGGGGACACTACAAGAGAAATTTTCAATAAAAATAAATCTTAATGTATAAAATTCTCGTGTCGCGGTGTTTGTTACCAAACTCCTCCGAAACGGCTCAACCGATTTGTATGAAATTTTGTGTGCATATCGGGTAAGTCTGAGAATCGGCCAACATTTATTTTTCAAACCCCTAAATAATAAGGGTGATCCACCCCTAAATATTTTCTTATTTTATTGACAAAATTGTTGTATTTTTATTTTATTATGATTTAGCATTGAAAAATACATAAAACTTCAAATGTTCACCCGTCTACGATCAACCCCTGTTTTTAATCGCGATTTTTAATGTAAATATATGGCAAAACAACGTTTGCCGGGTCAGCTAGTAATATATACTATTTTATTATATTATTATTCGTGAATATACATTATATATGATTAAACAAATAATACAATACTTATATAATAATTTTATATAAGTAGCTAGCAACTTTATTATTTAATAATTTTTATAATATAGAAGATGTATACTTTTTTGCTAGAATAAGGGTGACAAACGAGCACACAGTTCACCTGATGGTAAGCGGATGCTGCGGCCCATAGACATCTACATTCATCTTCAATAAGAATCAAAATACAGATGCGTTGTCAACCCTGAGGACTAAAATGGAATGGCTCGTTTCCAGTAAAAAGGGCTTTTACTTTTTATGTACCTATAAGAAATTTAAACACTAAGTTTACCTTGTTTAATATATTTTCCACTAAGGGTCAACTGGAACATGTTCAAATATATAGCATATGGAATAAGTAGTACCTTTGCTTAAAGTCACTTTAAGAGTTTTGTGTCGTTATGTTTATAAATAAATAAAAAAATAAAATGAAATAATTTGGTCACAGCAGAACCGGCTTAATCACACCACAGATATATCGTGAAGTGTATGTTTTCGAATCTTATTGCGAATGGTGAGGGCTGTTAGATAAGTCATCCTTACCTTTTCTACCTAAATTCAGAGTCATAAAAAATTCTCATATGCTTCAATAGATGGCGGTATCACCATCTAGTGTAATTCAGGTCGAAACTAACCAGACCGGCGACGGTGCTTGGCAATTTGTTAACCAAACGTGCCGATTGAAAAAATGCTATTGTTGAACAGTGGACTGTTGGGGATTAAAAAGAAGGAACTAAAATGTATAACGAGTAGAAACAAACTCACAGTGCATGGCGCTCTTCGTCCCATCTGAGACAAGCAGATGAAGTTGTGGGTCACGAAGATACCGAAGCGCTGCGTAATATTGTTGCATGTATCATCGTCCATGAGTCGCGCATGATACGCCTGGAGAGTTATTTCCTTGTTCTCGAAGATTCCGTCACGCTGAGAAAATTGTCATTAGTTTTTAAACCGAATACATCTTAACAGAAACAGAAACAGAATTTTTTTTATTCAATATAGATTATAAATAATACTTATTGAATGTCACTCTTTTGTTTAATTACTAATGGTTCGAAAAAAAAAACCTCTGTCCTGGGAAGAACCAGCAATAAAACCAGCGGGACCTTTTTTTAAATAACAGCTTACAATCAGGTATGTTACATTAATTAACAACACAACAAATTAGAAATATTCACGATCACCTCATTTCCAGGGGTTATTATCATCCATAAATTCTTTAATATTATAATAACCCTTTTTATACAAACTTAGTTTATTAAAGTTTTTGCACTTTTAGCATTTTCTGGAATTTTGTTGTATAAGCGTATACATCACCTCAAGAATGAATTACTGACTCGATGGAGTCGAGTAACTGGTACTACTAGCTTGTGTCTGTTCCTAATATTTACAGAATGAATATCACTTATTTTTGTAAAACTACTTTAATTTTTGTGTACGTACATTACATTTTCATAAATGTATTGAGAGGCCAAAGTTAATATATTAATTTCCTTAAATTTATGTCGCAGTGACTCTTTAGGCTTTAAATCATAAATTGCTCTTATGGCCCTCTTCTGTAAAACAAATATAATTTCAGTGTCAGCTGCGTGTACCCAAGGTAAAATACCATACGACATTATGCTATGGAAATAGCTAAAGTAAACTAGTCTAGCTGTTTCAACACTGGTAAGACTTCCAATCTTTTTACAGCATATGCTGCAGAACTAATTCTGCTGGCTACTTTTGATATATGGGGGCTCCATTGAAGCTTTGCGTACAGTGTGATTCCAAGAAAAACAAGAAACAGAAAGGGGCCGAGAATTGAGCCTTGAGGCACGCCCATTTGTACCATCGACCCGAAAGAGCTCATACTGTTAATGACAACTTTTTGGGTTCTCTTACTTACATATGAAATAATTAATTTAAGAGCATCACTTCTTACACCGTAGTGTTGAAGTTTGCTGATTAATGATTCATGGTGAACACAATCGAAGGCCTTGGATAGGTCACAAAATATACACAAAGTATCCTGTGAATTCTCTCATGCACTAAAGATATATTTAATCAGCTCAACACCGGCATCAGTTGTCGAGCGACCCCTTGTCAAACCAAATTGATTTTTATGAAGTAAATTATTTATAGTAAAGGAATTTAACATTTGATCAAGAATAATTTTTTTCAAAAATCTTACTAAGTGTGTAAGGTAGCACAGAAATAGGTCTAAAATTGGCGCGGTCTAATGTACTACCAGTTTGAAATAAAGCTATTACTTTACTATGCTTCATTAAATCAGGAAACACACCAGATTCGATACTAGTATTAAAATAATAGCTAAAAGAGACGCGATTGTATATATTATAGACGCAATAACTTTAATGGAAATCCCCCACAGTTCCGCAGTTTTCTTAACATCAATAGTTTTAAAATTAAAAAAAATCTTTTGATGATACTTTATGATATGTAAAATTCTTTGTACACGCATTTACATTTTGTTTAAGTAATGATTCGGCGACAGCAAGGGAAGAATTCAGTGACTTAAAAAAGTAAAAAAACGACGTGTGGCGGTGGCGAGTTTCGGTCACGCTGGCTAATGTAAACGGACCGTGCATAAATTGCTTATGTACATGGTTACAAATATGCCTTGCGGTTGCCACTATAAACGAAAGGTAATCCGTCACCTCATTTCATTTTGTCGGTGTCGTAAAAAATATTACGTAATATTTAAAAAAAAAATTAAACCAAATAGATGTTATAATATAATAATAGATAATAATAATAATCTTTATTTCGATATATTGTCATCAGTCAACAATAAGTCTATATTTATACAGGCTGTCCCAGAAGTTGATGTCAAGCTGGAATCGGGTGATAGGTCACTTGACCTGACTTCATAATAGTTAATAGAAAAATATAAAACAAATATGTGCTATTCATTTTAAAAATTACAGGCATCTATAAGAAAAAAATCGAGGAAATCTAAATTCTGTAGCGGTCTTTAACCCCTGTTGCTACACATTTTAACTTTTTAGTTTTATTTTTATTTATATAATGCTAAATAATTTCGAAAACTGTTGCTTAAAATTTACAGCCAAGTGCTCCAACCAAGAATCCAAAACGAAATGTAATTTTTTCCTAACCAAGTATTCAAAATTAATACTTTGCCCAATTTTAAAGGACTGTATTGAAAAAATACACGTGTTTGCAAAAATACTTTAAAAGTATAAATGCGTACTTTTAAATAAATATATAATAAGGATTCAAAAATGGTATAAAACTCGAAAGATTATTTATTAAATTACGGATGTTTTTTAAACAACATAGTTGTAAATTGGAATAAAATAGATGCAGCAGTATGATGGGTGCAGCAGCATGACAGATGCAGTAGCGTGAAATATGCAGTAGCAGGATAGATACATTAGCATGATAGATGCAGCAGCATGATAGATGCAGCAGCATGATAGATGCAGCAGCATGAAAGATGCAGCAGCATTATATATACAGCAGCATGGCAGATGCAACAGCATGATAGATTCAGCAGCACGATATATGCAGCAGCATGTTATATGCAGCAGCAAGATAGATACAGCAACGTGATGGATGCACCAGCATGATAGATGCATCAACGTGGCAGGTGCAGCAGCAGGATATATGCAGCAGCAGGATAGATCAGCATCAGGATAATGCAGTAGCAGGATAGATGCAGCAGTATGATAGATGCCGCAGCATGATAGATGCAGCAGAATGATAGAAGCAGCAGCATGATAGATGCAGCAGCATGATAGATGCCGCGCCGTGATAGATGCAGCAGCATGATAGATTCAGCAGCATGATAGATGTATCAGCATGACAGATGCAACAGCGTCATAGATGTAACAGCATGATAGATGCCGCAGCATGATAGATGCAGCAGCATGATAGATGCAGCAGCATTATAGATGCAGCTGCGTGGTAGATGCAGCAGCTTGATAGATGCACCAGCATGATAGATGCAGCAGCATGATAGATGCAGCAGCATGGTAGATGTATCAGCATGACAGATGCAGCTGCATCAGAGATGCAGCAGCGTGTTAGATGCAGCAGCATGATAGATGCAGCAGCATTATACATACAGCAGCATGATAGATGCAGCAGCATGATAGATGTATCAGCATGACAGATGCAGCAGCATCATAGATGCTGCTGTCCCCCTCCTCCTTCAGCTTTCTTCTGTTGCCTCTTACGACACACACGTGACGATATAGTTCAGTGTATATTAATACACCGCCACTAGACGTTAGGTACAATTAATTTTAGCAACCCCTATTATTAACTCGTAGTTTGGAAGCGCATATTCTATAGAAAATTACCCTGTCACTTCCCCAACTGGTGACCCAGGCATCATCAAAGGCCGGCATCATGACGCGATTAGGCAGGTCCACGCCGTGCACTTGATCTGAGAATCTGAGTACAGATAAAAACAAATAACCTATAAACGATGTGAACTTGAATAAGAGGCGTATTCAGCTTAGATTTATGACGTTTAAAAATTGTTTACTATAAGCTATAGTCAACAACTTTTTTTTATTAAGACTCTAGAGTCTTAATATATTATCGACAGAAGCGTGTCTTTCCTAGTGTGGCGGTGTAGCAGTGGTGTTGGAATCAGTGGTGACGGGGAGTCACCACTAATCTCAACACCATACACGCCATAATTTCAAAAGTTGCTTCGTAAGGCAGTTTTAAATTTGTAATAAATACAAATAGATTTTTTTTTGTTTTTTATTTCGCATACTTAATAGTAGTTTGATTCGTGGTTTCTTTACCGATGGTAAATCAGAAATTGAAATTGGAACATTCAAATAACGCTTTATTGGGCACTTGTGTAAGATAAGTATGTAATAATTTAAAATAAGCAATCGGTCTGTTTCTCAATACTTTTTTAATGTAATATACAAAATAAATTTTAAGCAAAATTTAGTCTTATTCGGTTACATTTTTAAAACAGTCATTTCTCTCGCTTCATGTTATACTCTTTTGCTGTAAGAAATTAAAATTTCTTTCGAAAAGCATAAGTTTTTAATCTACCCCCGTTACAAAATGAAGATCCATCGGCCAGCAAGGCGACAGAAAAAGTAACTCGAGGAAGCATCCTTTGCACTAAAATGAAACGAATTTCAGCATAGCCCTTAATAACATCGTTATTTTCAAATCATACATCTATTGATAAGTCCATCTTGATCACGGCAAGCTGAATCAAATCATAACATATTAATAAAGAAAAAGATATATATACATATATATATATATATATTTAAATATGTACTCACTTAATGTTCCTGTCTAACAGCAGCAACGCAACGTCGTGGTCGGGATTGCGACGCAAGCTCCATTCGGGGTGTCGCATCATCTCCTGTACACCGGCCACCTGCCCACCACGGTCAGCGTACCGCGAACCAGCCCGTATCCTTAATCGGCTGACATGTTCTGATCTACAATCAGAAACATAATAAAGATAAACAATCCCTAATAAATAAAAAAAAACACGGGTAAAGTGAAACCTTCAGAAACGAAGGTCAAGATAATAGGAAACACTGTATTCTATCTCATTCTCTCACAGGTTAAATCCTAAAAACGTTTAAGTTTGTCTCTGTTTAGTGTGGCCTTTTTTTTTCATCGAGATTCAAATCACAACGACTCTAAAGAAGTTTTCACATCCAGAAAGAAAGAAACTTATTTTGGTACACACAAATAAACGTATAACAATATACTAATTTATGACCAAAAACGAAATATATTAAATCCGGCTTTTTACGTCGAAGGTGAGCCAGAAAAGGCCACTCATGAGTTGTGGTGACACCACAACGACGATTTTCAGTAATGACCAAAAATTATACACAAGTGGTAAATTTAAAATTTGGTAGAACCGACTTCAATATGAATATAAAATTTAATACGTGGTAGAGCCATGCTGCAGCTATATTAGTAGTATAGTTGTAGCACGAATGGGTCGGCTCGACCGGGGAAGGACCACGCTCTCACAGAATACCAACGTAAAATAGCAGAGTTAAGCTGTGTTTCGTATGGTTAGTGTAGAGAACCGGAGACTATTTTTACTCGAAAGGAGGCATTCCATCTTAGTCCTCACGGGTGACAACGCATCTGCATTTTGATTTGTAATAGAGGATAGATGTAGATGTCTATGGGCCGCAGCAACCACTTACCGTTAGGTGGACTGTGTGCTCGTTCGTCACTCTTATCCTATAAAAAATATATAATTTATAGTTGATTTTTTAAAATCCGCGCGACCGATTTCGATAAACTTTAAATGGGACCACCTGGAAAGTATATTACATAAAAAAAAAAGATTCCAACGAATTAAGAACCTCCTCCTTTTTGAAAACGATTGAAAAAGATGCTTAAATTAGCATCGATAATGATCTTTTTGGGTTAAATTTGATGTTATTTGAGGCATGGCGACTCACTGTTCACATATTCAGAAAAGAGTTGCATGGTGGTGGTGTAAGATAATCCATCACTCCATTTCGTCTCGTGAGTGGTGTAAAAGGCGGCTGTCTCTCACAAATTCCCGCTTTAAATAGCGGTATCTATCTTGTTTACGCCAGAAGTAAACTACACAAACACACACCGGTGATGGAGAGCAACGTCAAAGGGTGAGAAACGAGCACACAGTCCACCTGATGGTAAGTGGTTACTGGGGCTCATAGACATCTACATCTATCTTCGTTTGCGAATTAAAATGCAGATGCGTTGTCAGCCGTGAGGACTAAGATAGAATTCCTCTTTTCCGGATAAAATAGTCTCCAGTTCTCTACATTACCATATGAAACGCAGCAGCGTTTAACTGCTATTTCACGCTGTTATTCTGTGGTGCCTTCCTCGGTCGAGCCAACCCATTAGTGCTAACTATACTATTAATATAGCTGCAGCATAGCTCTACCACGTATAGACCTGCTATGCGTAACGGCAAATCCTATTTACAACACAAGTTCCATGTTCGGTAGTAGGCTTACGAGCTGGTAAAGACGATTTTAAACCGTGTAGAGTCGGTGTAAGAATATCCACTACTCGATCCTGCGGTTGTCGTAAGAGGCGACAGAGGTAAACTAAAACAGAAGATGAGCAACAGCATCTTCCTAATTACAACTCAAAATAATAAAAACTGCGGTTGCCAACCCGCCTGTCTAGCGTAGCATCTATGGCAAAATCCTCTCTCTGTAGTAATTTGTGGGTGAGTGACTTTTATAGGCTGTAATGGTTGGTGGCAGAAATCGTCAGAAATAAAAGTTAAAGCTGTTGTCAATAACCATCGCCGCTAAGTATTACAGCCACATATACATAAGCACTCACGCCTGTCACGTAGAGTGGTGGGCAGAGACTACGGACTTCCATTTGACACGATCCTAGCACACCTCTCTCGCCTCCTCCACAACCATATACCTACGCATACATGCTCATCGCTTAAGGGTACTTAATTTGGCCCATTTGTATCATTACATATATATCGCCAATTTGGTCGATAAACTTTGGCCTAGGGCGTCCTTTCAAAAAGTAGTCAACTTGCTTTATCACGCTGGACAGTCAAGTTGGAAAGGGAACACTGCTTCCCGTCACCAATTTACAAAATTCGGATTTTGTCAATAGCCTGACGCTGTACCGCGTGTGTGTGAGATTGTCACGCGGAGAACTAGTTCAAATATTGAGTCTTATATCCCTGATTATATTAATGATTATAATATGCAAAAATAGAATTGTACTCACTTCCAAACACAGTTAGCCGTCGTTATAACAAGACGTGGATTAAGCAATGCGCCAGCGCACCAGTGCTCGTTGTTCTTTTGTATGGAAACCACGTAAGGATAATCATCGATTGACGCGTCTTTCCCGGCAATAAGACGCCTACTGTTATCGACTAACAAACAAGGGGTTCATAAATAAACAAAACTTTGTATCGAGTAATTTATTAATGCTTTATACGTTACAATTTACCTTTTCGAACTTGAACTCCATTTTCTGACCGTTTTTTAACGTTTTGTTTATTTTTCTGTTTTCTGGGGTCATTGTTACGTTTTCCTGATCGCGATTTAGGATTCCTATGTTTTGAACGGCCACTTCTCAATTTGTTTGTTGGTGTTTCCGACTTATGCTTGTTTTTATCATTTGATTTGTTTACGACATGTTTTGCCCCTTTGTTTTTTGGTATTTTACCTTTATTTTTCACCGTTCTCAAATTATGCTTACGAGCTGGCTTAACTTTCTCGCCTTTTCTTTCTTTATCATTAATGTTTTTTGTAGTTTTATTTGTTACATGGTGCATTGGAGAATGTGCTGCTCTCTTGCGCCTCGACAGATGCCATAATCCATAATCGGGTAGCATTTTTTTATAGATTCTATTAGGTTTCTGATCGAAGAGCGACTCTATAGGGAAAAAGGGGCTCTCAGGGACCTTCTTTACAGGAATCGCTGGAAATACAGTATAAGCCTCTTCTTTTGGTACGTATCGCTTCTTGGTATTAAGTCTGTAATTTTCCACCGGTAGAGATCTTAAAAACTTTTGGGCATTCAATATTTGTATATTTCGATGAATGGGTATCCTCTTCTGTTTTGGATAGGCTCTTGCCAAAAACCGGGTGTCTTCAAAGGGCCCATCATTGCCAAAGCAATATGTATGTAAAACACAAATAATGACTGCAACAAGTAATGTTCTCATTGCCACGACTCAAGTGCTAACATGGCGAAACTGGTGCAGGTTGTAAAATAACTTTATTGGTATTTTATTGATTTTTGTGATGGTTTCACTCATTGATGCGATAAACTGGAACAGTTTCCAATTTTAGATAAGTAGATATGTTTTAAAATAACAAAAAGTTGAAAAACTTCACATATATATATATATATATATATATATATATATATATAACATATTTAAAAATAAAAAATAAAGAGTATTAAAACCACGAGTGGGTAGCATTTTGTACAAATGATTATAAATTGTTTTTTAATTATGCCATATCTTCTTGTTGCTCTCGAACGACTTAGAGAAATGCCTGGAAGATCCTAATATAGATAATATCCTTCATATAGCGATAAAATTGTACAAACAATTGAACAATCATAGGTTTTTTTCAATCAATTATGTCAGTATAATTTGCGGATGAACGGTGCAATGTATTGTAAATATGGGGGACAGCAGTCATCATCAATATAGCCCATAAGAACTTGTTCATAGTATCTTACCGATGAAATTGTGGCCTAGGAGACCACAATTTCATCGGCAAATACAGGTTTGACCGTGTAGTGGCGGTGTAAGATTATCCACTACCCCCTCTCGCCCCGTGAGCATCGTAAGAGGCGACAGAGGAAACAAACCAGGAGATGGGCAGCTGCGTCTTTTTTTACTACGAGTATTATAAGTCTGTGCTTTAAAAGAAACTAATTTTTACGGATTTTATCGCGTTTAATTTAACTTTTTAATTCCCGACGTTTCGGGTGCTTTACAGCACCCATGGTCACGGGGGGACTGCGACGTTTGACACCCCGATGTCATAGGTAGCCCGGCTACCTTCAGTTTTGAATATTAATTTTTGGTCCGATCTACGCAGAAAACCCAAAAATAAAAAATAAAAAACGTCGGGAATTAAAAAGTTAAATTAAACGCGATAAAATCCGTAAAAATTAGTTTCATTTAATGTGTAGTCTTCACGTAAATGTAAGAAATCATTAAGCCAGTGCTTGACAATTATCCCGTCAGATAGTGAGTGTTGATAGAGCTGAAAATAGTAAAGCGTACTGATTATCTTAATAAAAGCCTATTCACTGTTGTTTTGAAGACACCCACATTATAATCGAAAGGAAAGACAGATGCTGGCAAATTATTTCATTCCTTTAATTTATGCATTATGAACGACGAAGCGTTTTGTTATAATAACTCTGCCGTTGCCAACCCAACTAGCAAGCATGGCAACTATAGCAAATATCCCGCTGATAAGACGACAGTGGACTTTTGTGAATGAATACTGGCTAGTTTGAAGTTCGAAATTTTGCATTCGTCATGAATTTTAATTCCAAATTCAAATTCATATTTTTTTTATTTCTATTTTTTTTTTAAAAACGTTACCCCCACACTAGGATTTTCTCCTGTATCGTGGAGGCAGTTTGTGTTTACAAACACAAATTGCACAAGGACAAACATCCAGACCCGGAACAATTATTTGTAGGCCATACAAATACTTGTTCCGTGCGGGATTCGAACCCGCGGCCCCCAGCGCAACAACTGATTTCTAAGTCACTGCGTCACGGAGCCGTCACTATTACCTTAAACCTATGATGTTAGTCACATAAAAAAACCCTTGGTTCATCAATTCTTTCATCTTTGATTTTTTTATGTTTTCCTTTGACTGCAAGAATCGAAAATTATAATTTGCTATATATTTTAGATAACAGTTCCGTCGTTTTAACAATACTACACAAACGGCTCACAATTCAACGACTTTAGTGTGGGAGAGATACCCCAAATAAAGGCACATTGCGTATTTGGCATTTCATTGTCGCCAGTGATGACATATGTATCTGAAATCTAGTCCTTCGCTGCTGGCCGTATTAGGAAGCTCAAGGTCGCTCAGCGAGCTTTACTATGGACTCTGTTCCTCTTCGTGATGAACTTAGAATGGGAATATCTGCTTGAGGCTCGAAGAACCAACAACCGATGAGGAAAAGATTCTCGAACGGCAGCCTCGTACGGTAAGCGAAGTGTAGGGCAACCCCTCACTACAGGAGATGATGGATGAGGATGATGATACCTGGTAAGAGATGCAGGAAGTAAATAAATACAGTCAACCCAGGAGCGCGCTATTTTGCATTCCTTGACTTGGACTTATTAAAATGGGTTACAGTACCAGGTACCAGTTAAAAATATCATTTATTTATATTTTATCATTTAACATTGATGAATAAATAAAAGTAGTCTACTCAGTTTAATAAAAGTCTCTACTTAAAGTATATACAATAAAATTAATAATTCAAGCGTTGACTGTACATTAAAGGCTGTGAAGATGATGATGATGTTCTGAAAATGTCAAAAGTCACTATTTATGAATTAAAAGATACTTACAGAAATCAACTTAAAACTCGCGAGGAATGTGCTTCTTCTCCCATTCCCGCCGCCTCACGCCCATGCTGTCTCAAAACAGACACTCGTCTCAAACCTTTTAATACGCCCTTGCTCTTAGTCAGAGCGGGATTTCAACTTGGATTTCAAATTTAGTCTATTTATGCGCGTTGTGCGTTGTACGTATGCTGCATTGTGCAGCATTGAGAAGCCATGCTGCAGCTATATCATGGCTGTGACACGAATGGATCGGCTCGACCTGGGAAGGACCATGCTCTCACAGAATACCAGCTTAAAATAGCAGCTTAATGCTACTGTGTTTCGTATGGTGAGTGTAGAGAACCGGAGACCCTTTTTACTGGTAAAGAGGCATTCTATCTTAGTACTCACGGCTGACAACGCATCTGCATTTTGATTCGCAAACGAGAATAGATGTAGATGTCTATGGGCCACAGCAACCACTTAGCATCAGGTGGACTGTGTGCTCGTTTGTCCCCTATCCTTTAAAAAAATTGTCTCACAACTATCATATTAAGCATCTATGCATTGAGGAAATGAAGGAATTTTGTTAATGTCTATATACATAATAGCGTACTTATATAATAATAATAATAAAAAAAATATTTTTGAGACTTATCATTTTATCATTTGCGATTACATCTCTTTTTCTTTGGGTTATCTGAAGAATGATGTGAAGCATATTGAGTTTCATATTATTAAAATTCTGTGCTGAAATGGCGTTTAGTGACAAAAAATTGTTATCATATTTCTCGAAAAACATCGCGTCCGGCGCTCTCTCCCTTGTAATCCAAAACGAAAGGTCTTCAATACGAAATCAATTTCCATGGTAACCCGTAACAAGGTAGATAATTACGAGTTTACTCTCGTTGAGAAGAGAGATTGGTCGAGATCTCCCAGTAATAGGCGTATGATTGCCAAGGTAACCGCTAGAACAATTCTGTATGTTGTAGATGTTGTACATCTCACGTTTGGATGAAATTACTTTAAAAGAAGACTGCTTTTCGTGGAAGAAAAAAGCCGATACCAAAATGTTCAAAACTTGAAGCATTTGAAATGTAGAAATGTTGTAAACAGACGTATGCTCGGAATATACTATACTATGAGAATAACAAATGTTGAGGTTCTGCGTCGAATTAATAAGAAGATGGAGATAATGAGGTCCGCGAAGGAGAGGAAGTTGCAGTATTTTGGACACATAATGAGAGGACACAAATACCGTATTCTTCAGAAAATGCAGATGCGTGCATTTTAATTCCCAAACGAAGATAGATGTAGATATCTATGGGCCACAGTAACCACTTACCATCAGGTGGACTTGTGACACTTATTCTATAAAAAAAAAGTTACTAAGTTTTCGCAACATTCTCAATGGTTGGACTGAGAGAAGGCAGCAAAACCATGATCTAAACGCAAATTGAGCTAAAAGAATCTGCACACAACTACCCTTGACCTAGACCCTTTTTACTGGAAACGAAGTGGTCTCACTTTGTCCTTGTGGGTGACAACACCTCCATAAATTCTTAATCTAGAATATATATGTCTATGGGCTGCTCAATACAAATCCGCTTACTATCAGACAGACTATCGTTTTCTCATCCTTAATCCTATAAAAATACTATGCGGTGTAGCTGTCCGAGCATTATTCATCACAGCTTATTGCGCACATCTGGAATTGATCCGTCACAATAATAACTACAGAGGTATACTGCGAAGAATTGCATTACTGGTTATGGAAGAAGCTCTATACGTGGTACCATGCTGCAGCTCTATTAGTAATATAGTTGTAGTACGAATGGGCGAAGCACCACGCTCTCACAGAATACCAGAATAAAATACCAGCTTAATACTGCTGTGTTTCGTATGGTTAGTGTAGAGAACCGGAGACCCTTCTTACTGGAAACGTGGCATTCCATCTTAGTCCTCTCGGATGACAACGCAAGTGCATCTTGATTCTTTATTGAGGATAGATGTAGATGACTATGGGTCACAGCAAACATTACCATCAGGTGGACTGTGTGCTCGTGTCACCATATCCTATTAAAAAAAAGCTTTCTATAAAACAACTGACACTTACCCACAAGCCACTACTTCTCGACAATGTCCACACTCTGCACTATGCAAAGAAGTAGATGATGAAAAGATTTCAGTAAAAATCTAAAGTTTCATTGGAATCTTTTCATCATCTACTTCGTTCGCCAATACTGTTTTCTTTTTTCAGTTTCGATAATTTTTTGATTTCCCAGATTTTTGTAGCAATGAGAATAATCTATCCATTTGCAGCGTTGTGGCGGTTTAAAAGAATAAATACATAATTGTTTTTCATCCCGTGGATGTCCTAAGAGGCAACTATGAACATTTCCAGAAAAATCTACCGATATATTTATAACGGCATCTATCGGTAGATTTTTCTGGAAATGTTCATAGTTATAACCATCTCGTTTACATCAGACGTAAAACATTAAGATCGGAGACTGGCAATAACTCTGTCTGGTGTTGCGATCGTAAATCCACCTGACATGCATAATGATAAGGCAAATCTACCAGATGTCTGCTCTCTCTTGTTAGGTACCATCCCCTAACGG